CATTGTCGGATTGGCCTAACTAAAGGGTCCACATTCAGTTTATGAGTTATGACACAAGGGTCAATTCCAGGCATTTCTGCCGCGGACCATGCAAAAACGTCTAAATTCTTGAGTAGAAAACTTGCTAATTGATTTCGGAGCGGTTCGCTTACCAGTGCACCGATCTGGGGAGTCTTGGTCGGTTCGGTCTCAAACATTGTATGTGGACCGTCTCTTCCATCGGGGTAGCTCGCTCCTCGCTGTAGTCTGTCAGTCGCTCCAGTTCGACGTCCTCTGCTAACTTTGCTTTTCCTTTCAAAGCAGACACATAACACCTCCAGAATTCGAGCAGGTCACCTTGTACTACTCCCACTCTGCAATCCGTTGGGAACTTCATCGCGAAATAGTAAGTTGACACTACTACGTGTAAAACATGCGTAATAGGCTGACCTATGATTGCCTTGTGTGGGGATGGAATAGTGACCACCAAGAATGTGTGCTCGAACCAGACAATATTTGGCCATGTGCCCGCCTCCACTGGTACTGTGACACGACCTATAGGCTTAACTTCCTCTCCGCTGAACCCTACTAGTGGGGCATTTGCTGGCGTTAGGTCGCTTTGTTGTAACTGCAACTTGTCAAAGGTTTCTTTGAAGAGTATATCGGCTGAACTACCTAAGTCCACCAAGATCCGCCTTACTTCAAAGTCATTGATGACCATCTTCATGACCAAGGCGTCGTCACGATGATACTGGATCCCACGGGCATCATCCTCGGTAAAGTAGATCGGTTCTTCGACCCGAGGTCGCTTGGTCGGGTTCTCTGCTTCATGCTTTAGTTCTCAGAATGATGTTCTCCCAGTCGCTATTGTGCAGCCCACTACAATAGATCCCCCAGTGATCATATTAATCACCCCACAGATCGGTCTCTCTTCTAGTAGCGGGCAAGGTGGTTGATTGTTGTCAGCTACTCTCTGGGGCGTCTTTTTTTCGATCTCCCTGTCAATTCCCCTGTTCCTTTTCTTCATGTAGAATGTACTTTTTCAAGTACCCACGACGGATCAACTCTTCAATTTCATCGCGGAGGTTTCTACAGTTTTCTGTCTTGTGACCATGGTCCCGATGAAAGTGACAATGGACGTTCGGGTTCCTGGTCATTGGGTCTCCATGGAGTCTGGGTGGCCATCTAATGATAGAGGAATCCTTTATTGCCATTAAGATCTCTCCTCGCTTCACGTTCAAGGGAGTATAGTTCGTCCTCTCCACTAGAGGGGTCCTGGAACACTGACCTGACATGTAACTTCACGAGGGGGATTTGCTCCTCGAGCTCGGGGACTTGCTTATTTGCTTGGGGTACTTACTTTTCTTTTCTTTTCTTGTTGTTCGTCCCCTCTTCCTCCCTTTTCTTTTTTTCTCTTGGTTGGTTTTTAGTTTTTGGTTTATCTCCTCTTTAGTGTTGATAAATTGATCTGTCAATTAGAGGAACTTGGTGATGTTCTTTGGTTTGTTGGCTACGACATGCCACTTGAACTCTTTATGGGTGATGCCTTTGCTCGCTACGGTGAGACGTACTATTGGGTTAAGGTCCGGATATCTGCAGGCATGTCTCATTGAACCGTTTGATATAACTACGGATTGACTCTCCCTTCCTCTGCACCACATTTAGAAGGCTCTCCTATGACTTTGGGCACTTCTTACTAGTGATGAAGTGGGCCGTAAACATATCTGTGAACTGCGCCCAACTTCTGATGGAACCCGACACTAGGTTTCTGTATCAAGTCCGAGCTACTCCTTTGAACGTGGTGGAGAAAGCCACGCACATACAAGCCTTATCGGCCCCGGCGAGGTGCATCTGGGACTAGAATGCGTCCACGTGATCATTAGGATCAAAGGACCCATTGTACTTGTCTAGCGACGGGACCTTGAAATCTTTTGGCATTGGGGCCGCTAGGAGCTCAGGTGTCAGGGAGAAGGCCACCGGCTCAAAAGAGCAGGCATTGTTCCTGTGGCCACCGAGCTCACCTCCTCTCTTTCTCGACAATGATTTGCTGGATGGTTGGGCTTTACTGCTGGATCATTTCTTTCTGATGAATGGCGAGTCTTGCGACGTCGCCGCTACTGCTTTTTCGGTGGAGCGACATATGTACTGTCAGCCTCCGTGTTGTTAGGCACTTCAATCTTACTTCGAATAGTTGGGCGAGCTGGTTTAGAGATTCTCCTCACCGCTTCCTCTTTGTCGTGCGTTTGATGCTGGCTGCTACGAGGAATCGAGGGGTCTCTCTTGGAGCCCGCACCTCAGACCTCGAGTCGATGTTCCACATGGGAAATCAGTCAACTATGCCTCTCGGGCTGGCTGGGTTTGAGTCTATTCCTTGAGCTTTCTCTTTAGGAAGTGGGGGGAGTACGTCGGTCACCTACAACACCTTGGGGTGGGGTTCGTCCCGAAGGGGGGACCGGTACTTGCGAAGTTCTCGCCCTGTGGGGAGGAGACTGGCGCTGGTTGTTCATCAGTTGGCTTGGTTGCAGTGGTGGGAAATGCTGTTGATACTGTTGATAAAAATAATACTACTGGAACTGATGAATCTGCATTGTTCGAACACTCTGGACGAGGTCGCTGAACTGGGAGTGCCCGATCCTAGGGGAATCACGGAAGGCTCCGAGAACATGGCGCTCACCTGGGGGAGCGGGACACTCACCTGTTGAGCAGTGTGGGGTGTGGATAGTGATGGGACCCCGGATGCGGTCAGAGGAATGGTGAACTAGCCAATTGCCATTGAGGGTCCTTGGGGAGCGACTATCTGTGGCTCTTGCCCCCTAGTGATGTTCATGTTGCCCTTACCATTGTGGTTGGATGATGCCATTGAGGTTGAGACTACATTTGAGACTATAAAAAATTGGGATGACCTTTCGATCGTTTCCCACAGACGATGCTAATTGATGATGCGCGATCTGGAAGCTCCTAGCTGGAGGGATGCCTAAGCGTACTCGAGTGGTGAGTTGGAGCAAATTGCAAAACAGTGATCAGAATAACTGGGGTGGATGACTCGAGGAGGTCGCTCCGATGCTTAAGTCAGTATTATGTTGTGGTTGCAAGCTAGAATTTGAGTGCTAGAGAGCTTGGATGCAATTAATTGTGCGCGTACCTGGACCATGGAGGGATTGATGCCTTTATATAGCTGAGCCATCGCGGGTTTCTTGAAACAATCCCGAGATCTGTGGCCTAAATGGACGAGATCCGTTTCCGCTTTAGTCGGTGAGTAACGTATCAATCAATGAACTTTATAGTCGCCGCCCGATCCAGTAGGAGAGAAGATAAGGCTTGTCGTTATGCGGTATGATCCCATAATATTCAAAGTCTACTGGGAAGCCACTGGAATTGATTACGTGTCACTTCGGTTCCTGGGCCCCAAACTCGATTAGGCGCCGAGGTGGCTTTATGCCGAGGTGGCCAAACGTCCGAACTCCGCATACCGCTGATTAGGCTCCCCTTACCGAATTGTCATCATATAAGCAGATTGCGTCCACATGACCTTTATTTACTAGGTCGTGCCCAATTACCCTTCATCAGTTGTCAATAAATGGAAGATGTAAATGTATAAAACATTTGTATGAATACAAAAATATGTACAACCTGACCAATTTTCATTGGTTAGCACAATTCCTTAAGTTTAAGAGATCCGGACTCTACAGAGATGGTGCGACATTTAAAGCGAATATAGTTAAATATATTTAGGGTCTGTTTGGTTCTAGTCGGAATTAGAATCGGAATCGGAATTAAAATTCTTTGGAATTAGAATTGAAATGGTCTAGTCCCATATTCTGTTTGGTTCAGACAAGTATAAGAATAGAAATTAGAATCAGCTATAATGGGATTTCATTTTAAGGGAGAGGGAGGGAATGGGCATTCTCTCAAATGGAAAATACCATTCCAGCGTGAATGAGAATGGAATTCCAAATCTACCCAATCAAACAGTTAGAATCGGAATGACCAATTCAAAACCTCTATTCCCGTGGACCAAACAGGCTCTTACTTTAGCATAAGAAATCTTAGAAGAAAGGACAATATATATAAATTAGAAGAAAGGACACAGAATATTAACTAGGATTTTCAGCTTAAATCATGAACCAAGTTCAATGTTTTCATTGTTTGAGAGGAGAAAAGTCTTATTTGAACACTTAGAGATAATCAAGCTGTTAAAAATGAAGTATCTCATACTGCTGATGTTCTGGGGATAAAGACCCTTGTTTCATATGGAACCCATATTCAAAAACAAAGGATGCTAGAGCCTAAGCTAAGGCCATCAGATCAAATCATAATTTGGATCCAAATCGGTCAACAAAATTCAAGTTTTAAGCGTGTAGATTCATTTTTAATTGAATCTGGTGATGTGGTCCTTCTCCTATGATCATGTGTGTATGTGTGTTATGGCTGAAATATCATTAATTAAAGACATTTTCCAAACTTTCTGAAGGATAAATAAATTATGATTCAGATAGGAAACCAATCAGAATTTAATTGATATTTATCAAATATTACTAATATAGTAATATATGGTTAGGTCAAAATATATAGGATTTATATGGAGAGAAATAGATAATACAAGAGGACTAGGAGCCCCACAGCCATTCCCATCCCCAACTTATTTACGTCAATGGACCACCACAATGTCCTCTTATCCACAAAGGCACATGCAACGAATCAAAGCTATAACCAGTCAAAGTCCATGTGACAAACGATGAAAAAGCATTTCAAGTTGAAGACGTGTCCTTCTCTTGCCCACCACCAAAAATAATTGAATTTGGTTCTCTAGTGGGAATTGTCCACACTCCAGAATTACCCAATTCCCCAAACTCTTTCTCTTCCAAACAGATTAATTCTTCATACCAGAAGAAACCCAACTCGTTTCTTTTCTTCTGTGTGGTTCTGACCTGCTTTTAACCCGTTTTTATGAACTTCAAAAGCAAATGAGAACCACTGCTATATTTATTTTCATCATCATATTGATATATAAACAACAAAAGAAAGAAAGAAAGTATATATCTGAAAGAAACATTAATTGATTAATTTAGTTTGATGCTACCTAGGGTGCCTTGTCAACAGATACACAGCAATGCAAGGAGAATTGTTCCAAACATTGGAGTGCAATCTAAGAACCCCTCTGGCCTTCTCTTTTACTTTGGCTGAACACTCTGCTTGAAGAACCATGCATAGCTTGGACACAGCTCCAACCCTCAACATCTCGTGAACAACTTCATTGTTTCCTGAAAACTTAGCGATGTAGGATAGAATGTGAACTGCTCGATCATCTACTGCCGGAGAAACTCTCAGTATTCTTTTCGATACCATGGCGATGCCAGCCGAATGACCCAGAAGCTGGGCTCGCCCATCTGGGGAGCAACACAGATGATCCAGTATGCCGAAGATGAGCTCGGTTGTCCTCTTTTCCGGCATCCTAAGTTCAATCTCGATGAGGTCAAAAACTGCACCAGCTTCGATAATTATCGATCTGTTCCTTCCCCAAGGACATGCTTCTAACAACATGTGTAAGGCAGCCTTGGTGGCTTGCTGAGAGATCTGTTGCCTCAATACACCCACCATTGCTTTGAAGAACTCTGGCTTTAATCTCTCCATTAACGACCCACTCGCCACTTCGGTGATGGTTTTCAGAACCAAGACTGCACGCGTCTTCACCGTCTCCTGATCATCCATTTCTTGCTGTAAAACCCACATTATCGACTCGACAACATCGTAGTTCTCCGAAACAAGTTTCTTCATCTTTTCGGTTGGAGTGCATACAAGGTGGAAAACACTAAAAGCTTCACTGAGTCCATCGGTTCGGGCTTCCCTGAAACGTGACATGATCAGCGAAACCATGGCCTTGGCTACACCAGCCTCTACCATTGGCCCCCTGTTCTTTTCATTCCTGGATGCAATGGCCTCTAATTTCCTCAGTGATTGCAGTTGCAGCTGAGGAATCCGAAGTTCTTGAATGAGCTTAACTACCTGGGTCCTGTCAAAGAGAGATTTCGGGGTCGGAATCTGATCCACACCATTGGATGCATTTGCAATGCACCAGGCCTGGATTAGTCTGCGGAGTGTATGGTTGGGCGTCAAGTCTGAGTCCTTGGGCAGAGGCTGCTTCGTGACCGGACACGTTGTGTTCTTGCCGAAGAACAACCACTGCTCGATGCTCTCCCGGTCGTATGTGATGCCGGTAACCATTGTTACAGGGTCTTTCATGATCTGAAGAGATATGGGGCAGATGAAGTATTGTGGAATTTCAATCTCATCCATGAAAACAAGACCAAAAACAAAAGAAATTAAATAACTATATACAAGAAAGAAGAACTTAATTATAAACAAAGAAGATAAAGAAGAGGAGAGGCTAAGAAGCTCCAAATGGAGAAGGGGAGAGGTTCCAAGTAGCAATGGTAAGACAAGGCGGCTAATTTATTGATTGCTTTGAATGAAAGAAAAGCAGAGTCTCAGGGAAAGAAAATTTGGAAACATTCCGCATGGACTTACAACCGATCAATGTCATAGTCTTCATTCAACAGTCTTTTTAAGTAAATCCTTAGAATTGATTTGATCTACCTACAGGAATCACCAACTACCAAAGTCACTGGTTGGTGTACAAGCTAGCCCACTTATGCTTTATATGCTTTCTTTTTTTCTTTTTCAAATAGTACATCCTTTAGGTGGGCCCATCTACTGAATACTGCCACTTGGCATTCAAGGAGAGGTTTGGAGTCTTCTGACGACTAATGAATGGGACCCACCTAAAGGATCCATATGGGTCAAAATACATCAAATGAGTAGTTCATAGAAAGTTAAACGGTGGTTAGTCCTATTATCCCTTTAATTAATGCTTCAACCAGAGACTGTTGATTGGCGGGTAGGGTCATTTATGGGGCATAGAAGCAAACAGTCTGACCAAACCCTAACAGTAGTAATCTCTTAATTAGCCACCTCATACATATGAACCCTTTCTTCTGACTGTTTATTTTTGTGGGTATTTAGTCCTGAATTATGTAAATGTAGATCAGACGGTCAAAATTGTCCAGATGCTTTGATCATTCCACCGACTGATCCATGTGATCTGATGAGCTGATGCTTGGTAGGCCATGTGGGCATAAGACAAGAACCATGTGTTTTCGTCCAGGTTTGGATTTCAATAAACAGTTAGCATACAAAGTAAGAGGCGTGAATCAATGGCTTTTCTGAACTTGGGGGGATTTGGTTTCTAGATGATGATGATCCCATAAAGATGGGAGTTGTTTCTTTCTTTTGTTTATTGTTATTTTTCAAGCTTAATTAGTTCCATTTGTTTATTATTGGAAACAGAAGTCTTTGTTCTGCAATTTCTTTTCAATTATCAATGATCTCATCATCAGTAATATGAATTCTTCAAACAATGAATTAGTAATAACAGAGGATTGTTATCATCTATATTCTACATTTCTGCACTCAAACATTGTATGTAGCCTTCAAAGTTCAAAGTTGAAAATCAATATGATCAAGTTACGTTGAACCAAAGAAAGAAAGAAAAAAAGAATCAGTATGAGCATGTTTTGGGCATGTTCCCTTCAATCCAATGGGGTCCGGGTGGATTGGATTATGGGGTTTCTATTGCGTTTCATGCGGTTTAACTTGTGCTGACCCACCTTGTTCCCATCAGTTCAATTCATTGGTCAACCAAACAGGCCCAGCTGGTTTGGCTTCAAAATGGCTGGCCAGACCCCTAATAACATATTGAAAGAATTGCATGTTGGACATTTGGAACTTATGCTTATTTGCTTTTGTTTCTTCTTTTTCTATTTCTTTTCATTTTCTAAGTATCTTCTGCTGTTTTACACAGCTAAACTTCTCGGTTTGTCGTAGAAGCTGCTATTAAAACTTTCATAGTCTTTAGTTAAAGGCTTAAAGCTTAAAGGGTTAGGGTTATTATTTGGGTTTCGGTAGGCTAGAAGTAACAGATATACGCCTTTGACTTGTATCCCAAACCCTAACTTTTTCCCTTTTCTCTCTCTTGTCTCTTATTTTCGGTAATCAGTTGAAAAAATCAACCCTTCCAGAACTCATATTTCAATGGCAAGGTTTAGTTAATGATGCACCGAATGGTGTTTGACAAATTACCCATCAAGAATAAAAAAGAATAGTGCCACAAGCTAACATAATTTTAGCGTCTGTTTGAAATCGATGTCGTTGCTCCAAAAAATAGCGCCACGTCGGAAAAAATAGTGTTTCAGGAAATGCCTATTTGTTTGGAATTATTTTTCCATAAAAAATGGTGCTTTAAGCTATATCTTGGAAATTGGGAAGGCATGGCTGGTGGCAGTGATAGAGACATGACATGGCACTAGATAATAGGTACCAGTGTTGAAAACGTTTCCTGGAGCATTGATACTGATGCTGTCCGATCCGAGGTATCTCAAACCAAGGTCGCAATCAGATAGTCATGCCAACTGGTTAAGTCAAAGTGGAAGGACGAAACCGCGCACCAAGATCTGGGATCAAGAAAAAAAAAAGATCAGTGGCTCGAAGAATTGTTCCCCGGATAGACAATCCAACGCTCAAGTCAGTGGTATGAAAGGTAAGTGGTTGAGTCGAGCAGATGAGGATGATGCTGGTCCGAGCCGAAGAGGCAAAGTAACAATATAAGGACTCAAAAGTCCCTTACTCTGAGCGGAAGTTACCTATTTATATCCAAAGATCCGTGTCCAATACGGATGAGGCTTCCGGGGTTGTCGGGATGAGATTACCTGCCGAGGTCTTCAGGATAAGTCCTCTTCCCTAGCGGAGTTGTCTTCCTTCTCTGTACAGGACTCTCTTTCTTGGTCGTGCTTATCCGTCCTGCGTGGTGCCAATGTGGCGCCCGCAGCCATTTCAACCATAACCCAAACAGGTACAAAACAAAAAATGTTGTTGTTGCTCTAGGAAACGTCCTACCTGGCAGCAACATTTCAAACAAAAAAGAAAAATACATTGTTTTCTCAGAAAATAGTGCTTCCAACCCACACATAAAACGGTGTTGTATCTGCAGAGCATCTAGGGGTGTCCACGGTTCGGTTAACCAAACCATGGGTAGTTTTTGTAAACCGAACCAGTACCACTAGTTTTTCCATTTCCCCAAACCGAAACTGAATCGGTACCACCGGTTAACCAATCTGTTGGTTTCGGTTTTGACCGGTTCGGTTCTTCGGTTTTTTGTTTTTTACATTTATAATATATATTATATAAATATATGTGTAATATTATATTATAAATAATAAATGATATATAATATATTATAAAAATTATAAAAATATATAATATATTTATAAATAGATTATTATAAATATAATATATGTATATATTTATATATATATAATGAATATATATTTATGTATAATATATAGAAAATATGACATATATTAAAAATATATATAAAATATACATATAAATATATATACCGATTTGTTCGATTAACCGCCGGCTTTTTTATAGGTTAACCGAAAAATTGAACCGGTCCTTCAATTTTTCAAAAATACTAAACCGGTCAGTTAGGTTAACCACATTTTTAGATTCAATTCAATTTGGTTCAGTTTGATTTTTCAGTTTTTCATGAACACCCCTAGCAGCATCGATGCCAAACATATACTTAATGTTGGCGTCAGTTATGGACCGTTGAAACGTCAGTTACAAAGGCTCAAAGATTTTCTCAAGCAGCATGCCAACAGTGTTGCAAAATCGGATCTGCTAGTTAGTGTCCGTTTGGGAGGGATTCATGCAGCAGTTTCTGGCTGACATTACAAGATGGGCCCCAACAACATGCAGGAAACATTGTTTGATGAAAATCTCAAAAAGCGCAAAATAGCTATCTTACAGCCAAGAATATGGCTTTCTGAAGCGTCTTCTATATCCCGTCTAGAAGGGTTTCAGCTTTAATTGAACTGTGTTGACTAGGCTGTTTTGAAGAAACTACTAAAAGCATTACTCCTAGGTTTTTCATGTGAGGCCCACCTTACAAAACCAGAAGTTGCTGCATTAAAGCCCAAAATAGCTATCTTACAAGATGGGTCCCAACAGTATGCAAGAAACATTGTTTGATGAAAATCTCGAAAAGCCCAAAATAGTTATCTTACAACCAAAAGTATGGCTTTCTGAAGCTTCTTCTATAGCCCATCTGGAAGGGCTTCAGCTTTATTTGAACTGTGTTGATTAGGCTGCTTTGAAGAAGTTACTAAAACTAGTTTTACCAAAATGTCAATTTTTTAGCTGAATTAATACATATTTGGGCTTTCCAGGTTTTTCACCAAGCATTACTTCTAGGCTTTCCATGTGAGGCCCATCGTACAAAACCAGAAGTTGCTGCATGAAAGCCCTTCCAAACAGGTACTTAAGTGCTTCTCCAAAACAGCTCAATGCTTCAGCCTCCCAAAACGGGCCCTAATGTATTATCCTTTTTCCAAAGCTTCTTGTAGTGGCTTCTTTGTGAGATGGGCCCCACCCAGACAGCATATAAAGTATAAACAGTGTTTCGTAAAATTTTTGAAAGCCCAACCAATGCTTCAGCTCTCCGAAATGCGCCTCAACAGTGGCCGGTGGTGTTTTAATAAGAAAACATGTAAAAAGCAACAAAAACCATGAATGGTAAGGACTAAGGGACTGTTTGGTTTTGTAGGTAAAATCAGAATTGAACCAAAATCAAAATCCCTCAAAATCAGAACCAGAATTAAAATAGTCTATTCAATTAATCTGTTTGATGCAGAATCAGAATTAAAATCAGTTAGAATGGGATCTAATTCCTAAGAGAGTAAGAGGAAATGACATTCCCCCAAAAATCAACTGGAATACTATTCCATCAGAAATGGAAATCATATTCCGATTCTCCCGAATCAAATGGTTGGAATCAGAATAAACTATTCCAATTCAGATTCTAATTCCAAACCCTTATTTCTGCAAACTAAGTAGGCCTAAGAATTGATCTAGACATAATCGTATGGTTATGTCTGCTCTATTTTAAGTATTTCAACATCCATTGAATGGTCCCAACTGCCCATGAGAAAACTGTTGAAATCGTATAGCTTCGGACAATGTGATTGATGAAGGAAAACGGCATATGGACCAGGAAATTCAGGACTCTTGATTTCAAGGGAAATTGTATACTTTGTTAAAAGGTTTTGTAAATCATGTACTTTTCCAATGTCAAGTTCTCTTATGGTCCTATAAGTTGTAATTTTCAAATCACAAAAATGACCCAGACCCACTTGATGTCACCTCTATTTTTTTAATGCAACAATAGTACCCCCTAGCCGATGCAAACCAACAAATGTTTTACAACAATTAAGTCCATCTGAAAAAGTTTTTAAAATCAAATCGGACAATAAACTGGTCAGGGATTCAGTTCTCGGGTTGAATTATCCGATCGTTCAAATTAAATGGATGGCCCATTCTAACAAAAATTAAAAAATAAAAAATAAAAAATTGGCCAAAACCCGTTGGATGGTTTAAACAGTTCGAACAATTTGATCGTCCGAAT